GTGTCAGTGATATCTCCGCTCAATTCCATTGTTCAGAAATTCAATTATTTCACTAAACTGGGATAAGTGACGTCGTACATTCTGTAGATGGCAAACGCAGAGCTGTTTTAAAGACGTGGTTGTTTATTTTTGTTATACTAGTTGCAACATCCAACCTCGTTTATACATGTTGCAAGCTGCCTCAAGCAACACGCAATACCAACGAAGCCTGTGATAGTTAATTACTTTAGAGCTGACGGTATTTGAACCCTGTCAGCTCCAATAATAACTTGAGGCAGGCACTCTATCGAACTAGAAATATTGTTTAAATTTTTAATTGGAGACAAATTTCCGAACTGCCTAACTGTTAAAGTTATAGAAAATATTAACGCTGACGGAAGAGTCGCTGCATGTCTTTCAATTACTGCCTTCTATTTTTGTACTGCGTTGAAATTTGTACCAACCTTTCAAAAGGCAATGACATTTGAAGTTCCATCCCGTCGAGTCAAGCACGTCTCAGTCGCTTGAAAATCTGTTGTTGGTTATGTTGTTGTTGTTTTTGCCGTTCGGAAGAGCAAACTCCAACCCATCAACTTATTTTCAAGTGATATTTTAAACCAAAACAAAGTGTTCAGTTTGTTCAGCTAATATTTTTGTGACGCAAAAAAATCACTTGTTATTAACGTTTCAGCATGTGACGAGTGTCTTAAAATTTATTAAAAATAATTATCAATATTATTACATATACTTGTAAAACGTACATGAATGAAAATAATCTGTTTGACATTTGATATTGTAATAAAACATTGGGTATGTGTTATGTAGAATGAAAATGTTGAGAACCATGTTCAAAACAACATTCTTGAATGGGATTGAGTGTCTTTGTGTAGTTTGGTAAGCTAGGCAGAGTTTTGATGTGAGTACAGCTGTTTGTCTACTGTGAATAAGATATGATCGGGTCAATAAATAACATTACCACAATGCTGGTGAATGTGACGTGAATGATGACAAAGGAAATGAATTTCTTTAGAAACATTTTACATTGAATTCACTAATGCATTCAAACCACGCTAGTGTGTGCTTCATTTTGTGTGTGTGTGAATGCGTGTGTGTGTACGTGCGTGTACACGTCTGTGTGTGCTCGGCCAGAGTATAATAATGGATGATCGAACGAGACGTGCCTCCACGAAAATTAGATGAAGAGCATTTGGTAGATGTATCTTAGATAATCCAATAATAGATGTATCTTTGATATTAGTAATTAAGTGATATTTTCTATTAAAATAATTCGAGTGATAAATTGACAAACGATTCAATAAATGGAAATTTCAAGTTGGGATATCACATTTTGTTGTCATGCAGCATAACCTCAAATGAAACGTTAGCTGCTAAAATATGTAGATAACGTATCTATATAATGATACAATGTGTGTGTGTGTGTGCGTGTGTGTGTGTGTGGTGTTTAATTGTATGGTTGTGCGTTTGCTTGTACGAATTTCTGATAACGTGTAAACAATTTTGCAAACATGTGTGTATATATTGTAGTTGGGACTGAAACCCACAACTAAACCACAACTCATGTTACATTCAATTGAAGCATGTTTGTCCTACACTCGCATACACACGCTCGTAAGATGGTAGGTGCATGCAATGCAATCATGTTCGTACGTACGTACGGTGTGTTGTTATCAAACAGCGAACGTTGAGTGCCTCCCATCCCGTATGCCAACTTGTGCACGCAATATTGATTTTTCTCATAATGCTACGCCCGAAAGTGTGGTGTTTACTGAATGAATGAATGGATGAATGAATGGATGAATGAATGAATGAATGAATAAATGGATGAATGAATGATAGAATGACTGAATGGATTGATAGTTCAATGAATGATAGAATGAATGAATTTTACAAAAAGTGCAAGTGAATGAATGAATGATCGAAACAACGAGTGAATGAACAGATGTTTAAGCAGATGAATGAGTTTGATTGAAAAAATGACAAAACGAATGAACGAATAAGCAAATGAACAAGCAAGTGAATGGGTGAATGTGAGTTTCAATGAATACTTGAACGAATGAACGAATTGCTGAATGAATGGGTTCAAGAGAAGGACTAAAATATTTTGTAAACAGTTGGACTCATGATGCATTCTGTTATAAAAACCCACTACTGTTAGATGAGTTAATAAAGAATTTAGTAAAATAATACATTATTATAATTAATTAATTAATTAATTAACCGAAATTGTTGAATGATAATTAAATTTTGATAGACGCCAAAATATCATTGCTTTGAAATATTTGGAGAGTCAAATTTTCAGAAAAAAAACACCAAAATTAGTAAATGAACATTCAACTAGAGCATGCGTCAAAACAATATACAATTTACAACCACAACTGACGTCATAATCAGGTCTCGAGTGAAGTCACAATGACGTCACATCTAAAGTAACAAATCCACGCAATGAAGAACACAAATGTTATCAACTTGAGTAACATTACACGAACGGAGCACACGCAAAGTTAACTACACAATTTAGTACGGCCACTCTCAGTTGCAGAACTAAAATTCTGATGACCTTATGAGTTGAGGACGATGGTGCGGCAGAGGATTTCTGAGACCATATACGGGTCTGCGTTGGCTGCTGGCCGGCGATCTTCTAGGAAACCTTTCTTTTCATCGTATACCTGAGTGGGATTTCAGGTGGGTACGTGAATATGAAGACTTGCTACAATGTGGTGGGAAAAAGACCGCATCATGCAACATACCAATCAACACACACCAATCAACACACACCAACATACACACACACACTCACCGCACGCACACATTTGTGTGTACGTAATGTAACACAAATACAAAAGCAACAAAATCACGAGGGAAATATACAAAGACACTCACGAACAAATATACAAATGAACATGGAAACAAACACACAAACAAACTCATACAAGAAAGCATACAAAGACACACAAAAACACGCACTGACCTGTCTGTTGATCCTTATACTAGCTCCTCTATCGGCCACACCATACGAGAATGTCGATATGTCGCTCGTCTCATGTAAACCAGTCAACCTAGTGTTGGGTTGTGAGTTATGTTTATTTCATTTTGGTGGGCTATTTTCAAGTGCGCTTGTTATGAAAACATATGCAATTAAAGAAATAATTTTAACATTGAAAAAAGTTGAGATAAATTGTTTTTTAAGCTAATTTATTTTCACTTATTACCATACCTAAGTCACGTAAATACTAATTAAAAAACAAGTAAATATTTGTGTACGTGTTTGTGTGCATGCGTTCGTAAATTTTTGTATGTGTATGTGTATGTGTTGTATAACTTGTAGGAAACCTCCTCTTGTTGTCCTCCCCCCCACGTGGATCATACCACTTCATGTGCTCTTCGTGGGTTTTGCTCAATTTTTCCACAGCTTCCATAATGTATCTGTCGTGAAAAAATGAAAAAAAAAATATTCAACAAAAACTTAAATAAACATATAGTTAGGCAAATGAACTAATAAAAACTGATTAACTTTAAAAGTACTGAGACAGCTGAATGTAAAGGAACCAGCGACACTCACTTGATGCCACCATCCTGCCTCATGTGTATGGTGCTGAAGTTGATGTGAGCACCTGCTCCGTTCCAATCGGGCAGCGGTTTGGGATCGAGAGAAACGTTCACTCCGTAGTCCTCGGCGATCCTGTACAGTAGAAACCTTGCTATCCACAGCTGGTCGCCCGCATCCACGCCGGTGCATGGTCCGATCTGTGAGCAGGCAGATGTTATTTTGGGTTAGGTGTTGAACGTGTGTACTTGATGGCTCAATGGTTAAAGGCGCCTGGTTTTGCTATTGCAATGACTGGGTTCGAGTACAAAGAGATCCCCGCCTATCATATGCAATGTGTATGATGCGTGGTTTGCACGCGTATTCATATACGCTGTGTGTGTTTGTCGTTGAAACCTCTGAAGCTAACGCAAAAGAGAGAGTAACCTTTAACCTTTTTTAACCTTTTTAGACCTTGTAACAGAGCAAACTAGAATTTAAAATGTTTTCAAGTATCAAAAGAGAAAACTACCTGGAACTCAAATTGAGAAGGCATGACCTCCACATTCGTGCCGCCAATCTTCAGCCCTGCGTACAGGCAGGCTCTGTAGTGCGATTCCAGGATGTCACGTCCGAACACTTTGTTCGGTCCCACTCCGCAGTAGTATGGTCCTGGGATAATGTGTGCGTGTGTTCGTGTGTGTGTGTGTGTGTGTGTGTGTGTGTGTGCGTGCGATTGAATGTTGTTTGGAACCTTGTGGGGGCAGAACACCATCCGTAGGCCAACCGAGTGGTCTGCGGTCTGTGCCGAACAGCGTGTACTCTTGCTCGATACCGAACCATGGCTCTGCCGATTTGACTTCGTCCATCACTTTTTTGCATGATGCTCTGTGGTTTGTTTCTAGAGGAAACATTTGGTGGTTGCAATATATTTTTAACAGCAGCTCGATCTAACAGTGTAAAATCGGTAAGAAAAAGACATACAATACAAAAAAATTTCAGCTGAGTCTAACAACAATCATGATTCTGCATGTTTTCTAGTTCTAAAACTCCAAACATTCCTGCGATGCAACTCGAACAATTTATCTAAGCTAGAAATAGGTTCAGTTGCTGTCTTTCTTTTCATTTGTGCTTTCCAGCAAAACTGCAATGTCTTCATCCGTACCAAAAGTTTTGTGAGCATTAATAATATTTATGAGAATAGATAAAACCACATGTAAATAAAAAAATCTAAAATACTGTCCATTAAATTTTTCAAGATTTTCATAAACTTTAAACGGTTTCGGACAACGCAACGCTAAATATAGCAAGCCACTTATAAATCACTCGGCAACATTTTAAATTTATTTCAAAACTATAACATGCTGACGTCTACCTTCTACAATGTCCTATCAAAGTTTTATTAGTTATAAAAGAAATTATTGAAGCATTTTCGGTTTCCAAAGAGGTAACAGAACATTTTTAACCGGGTAAGAATAGAATTAAAAACAAATAAAAGTTCAATGGTACACCGAAACTCTTGACTCATGAACTTCAGATTAAATTATTTTATCATGTTAAAAGATTTCGGTATATAACCTAACCGTCAGCTTTTTAAATAGTTGTGTAGATCAGGTGACAATTAAAAAACGAAAGTAGGAATAGAAATGTAGGAGAGATTCATTGAGGGGCTCGAAGTTCAAGTAACTGTCTAAACAATCGCCTGCCAGGATATGAATCTGATTAACTACGAGCGAGTTATCTTAAACAGTAAAATAATAATAAAATTAATTATAATAATAATAATAAACATAAATAATAATAATAATATAATTATTAACAATAACAAGAAGAACAATAGTAACAACTTCAACATATAGATAGAGAATAATTTAGAAACTATGGACAAGTTAACAATTTATATT